CTTTGATAATTTTTTTAATTATCCTTAATTTTTCTTTTAATTTTAATATTCTTAAGAACTCACTATAATTATGCCGGTTATTTGAAAGATAATTCTGACTGTTTTAATTTTGATTCCTTCAACGCCGAAATATGATTGGCTGGCTCTGATAAGTTGACAACGAAAAAATTTCGCGGCAGATTGAACAGGGGTGGTATTCAAGTCGCTTATAATTATATCTGGTTATGATAGTGATACGGTATTAACGTTAGAGATTTATTTTGTTTGTAAGTTTATATAAAATTTTTTGAACTTTTCGATTATTACTAAACTGGTGAAAACAAACGCCTATGTGAATAACATTTTTGATTACTAAGCGTTTGTATATTTCGTTTAATGTTTTTCTTAAATTGTCTTTGTTTATACTAAACTAAATTAGTAAATAATAAATTAAAGGCCTATATATATACTTTCATGATAAATTGATATAATTATAAGTTTTTATAACAAAGTGTGTTAGAGCTGTACAGTATATTGCACGGATACTGATATTTACAATTGTAAAGTTGTATTTTAATTTCAACAGAACATATATAATTTAGTAAAAGCTAAATGACATAATACTAATAACCGATTTTTATGCAGAATGTTTGTTCAATCTTAAGTTTGTACGATTGATACTGACAGTGTGATACTGCCATTCGTACATTTTGTTAATAACTTGGCTTGCCAAATGTGGTTAGCAGAAAGCTGTAACATCACCTAACTGTTACAGTTTACCAGTTTTATAGCTTCTACTTCTAGTTTCACTACCGTATCTTTCAATTTCAAAAATTCCACTTGGTTACCAAAATATTAAAATACATAGTTATTGAAACAGGACGAATTTTATAATTGACATTAAAATGAGTAATTTAGTAAGCAAATACAAGTTGATTACTTTGCAAAAAAGGCTAAAATTGTAAAAAAGTGTATTTTCCGTTAAGTTATCACACATACTATGAATCATTGTATTACACTCAATGTTTAATCTCAGTTATTTTGTTTGGTTACTTTTGAGTTTGTATCAAAAAATGTTTCTTTGTTTGGGTCAGCACAGTAAAGAGTATTTTCACAAAATTGGTTGCAGTGTATAGAATAAAACTTGAAAAAAAAACATTTCTCTTTCACAACTTTGTGAATGGTGAAATTCCAAATTAGTTTTGATATTGTAACTATTGACCTAATCAAAGGATGATTGATGCATAAATAAATAGTTTTAATATTTCTTTTAGAATTTTGTACAAACACTAATAATTTAAAAATTGTTCACTTATACAAAAAAATATATGAATTGTGTCTAAAGGAAAATATCAGATTTTTCGAATTATAAATGTGAGGTAACCAAAAATACATGTTACCAAGCACCTGCTAATAGGAATTTAGCATATTTTCATTTCTTAATTTTTTACAATTCAGAATTATATTAGTTTTCAAGTAATATAAGATCTTTACTGTTTTGTGTAGAATAATATTTTGTTTTTGAATTCAATATTGTCATTTTTTTAAATGAAAGTACATGAGCGTGTTTCAAAAATCTTTATGTATATACAGTCATTGCGGCATACTGTAGCTGTGACTATTTTTCTTAAACTTGAATTTATATGAATTAATAAATTTAACTTTAGAATACAGCTTTTCATGTACATGGAATGTTTTTTATTCAAAAACAAACAAAACTGATAAGTTTAGAGGTTAAAAAAAACTAAAAGGGGTTCTCTGGTTACCAAAGTTTGAGAACTGCTGTTCTAAGTGATGTAACACAATTTGATGTTTTCTGTAATGAAATGTATTGTGTCTCAAAAGGTTTTTTGATTGGAAAATAATTTGCATTAATGATTTCAAAAGATGTGTTATTTATATGTGTGTTAAACTGTTTCAGGAACTTTAGAAGAATGGCTCGTTTTGAATTTGTCTTGCCTCTAAACTTTGAAGACTTGAGAACATCTCAGAACACTCGTCATTATGTTGTAGATGAAGTGGTTTATGTACGGGACATTTCTGGCAGATTGCAAGGTAACAGTATGCATTATTTTTTAACTAAAGATATGAAAATTCAGAATATGGATTTAGCTGTTCTTTTTTCTGTTAATGAAATATTTCACTGATTCATTTCTTGTAATTTTTTGTGATACTAAGAATAAGAACAAAGATTCATAGTGGCTTTTGATTTATCTTATATTTTTTGCCCCAAATTATAAGGCCAAATGTAATTAAATGTGCTAAAACTGGGAAATGATTTATATGTTTCTTCTTTTTGATTAAAAGGTTGTATTGTTTTGGTACTTATGTGGTAATTTAATTGAAGACAAATATCAGTGCTAGATGCAGTACTTGTATTAAAATGGACAAGTGGGTGGTGTACTGTAATTACTTAGTACTTTACTCTCAAGTATTTTAGATGGGTAAAGAATAAAATACAATTGAATCAATAGAAATTCTATTTTTGTATTTAACATTTTAAACGTAGTAATCCTTATAATATTATGAACAGCTTACTTCATTGGTTTATAATGACAGTAATGAATTTACTGATGCCCAAAATAAATAGTGAAATGGCTCTGGCTCATTTATTAGAAGGTAGCATCTATACCTTTTTACTCAACTACATTAAGGCTTTCATTGAACTTGGTGAGATAATTTACAGACAGAAAGGAATAATTGGGTCTTTTGAGGCTGTATGTACACACTCGACCTTGAGAACAGCATAAAATTGAACCCACCTTTTTTTTGTAACTGTTGATTTCCTGCCTTAAATTCTTGTAAAGTTCCAGCCTCCACAGTTGCCAATGGCAACTCATTTCATTAGCCAAGCACTTTAGAATAATAACTGACCTAATTGAAACTTGTCTTTTCCAAATTGTAAACTTGTGTCCTGTTCTGTTTGTCTTCAGAATATAGCCATAAGAAATCAAAAGCCTTTATCCTGTTGATCCTCTCCAGATAATTTTATAAACTTTAAAAAGATCAACTCTTACTTTCCTTTTCTCAAGAGAAAATAAGAGATTTTATCCTATCTGCATAAGATAACCTTTCCATCCTTGGAATCATCCAAGTAATTCCCTCCTTGAAGGTCTTTACGATAAGTCGGTGTCCTTTCTTAGATAAGGTGACCAAAACTGTAAAAAGCATTCTAAGTGAAGCCTTAATGGTAAAAATTGGGAAGAATGTTGCCCAGAACATTATAGGTCAGTTAGTCTAACTTCTTTAATGGTAAAAATTCTAGAAAGTCTTATAAAAAACTTTACAAAATCATGTAGTTAAATTTTATATCATAAATGAAAGTGGATTTACAAAAAAAGAAATTTTGCCTTATTAATTTGTTAGCTTTTTTTTTCAAGAATGTTACTTATGATCTGGTTGATGGAAAAGATATACTTAATTTTGATAAGATGCTACAAAAAGATTAGCTGAGATAATCACATCATTTGGGAAAGATTAGTTAATAATAGGGTGTTCGACGAGAGAAAGCAAAAAGGTTGTTATTGGACTCCAATCAAACTGGACTCTTGTTACTAGGAGTAACTCAGGGGCCTTTGCTTTTATTTTATTTACATTAATGACATTGATATGGGCATAATTAATAAATCCTGCTGATGGTATTCAACTCTTGGGTATTTCTATATGTATTAGAGATAAGGTACTACCAAATAGCTTGGATCAATTGGTGTATTGGACAAATATTTGGAAAATACTCTTTATTTATAGTACATACAAAGTAATGCATTTTGGTTAACATAATTTGAGTCACAATTAACACAGATTGGATCCCACTCACTTCAGTGACTGAAGAAAAGTATCTTGACATTGTGTTGGATAAGTCAATCAAGACATTGAGACAGTGCACTAGTAGTAAAGTTAACAGAATTTATTTGGTATTCATAGATATATTAATTACAAGCCAAAAGAGGTAATCATCTATCTATACGAATCAATAATAATAATGGTAAAAATTGGGAAGAATGTTGCCCAGAACATTATAGGTCAGTTAGTCTTACTTCTCAGAAGTAAGACTAACTGACCTATAATGTTCTGGGCAACATTCTTCCCCTCTTAAGACCTCAGTCTTCCCCAAAGCCATCTCTAACTTATTACTGAACTACCTTCAAACATAATGAAGTTTTACTACTAACTACTTGTCTTTATTTTCTATTACCAGTGTACTCACCCAGTAATTGTATATGCAAGTTTAACTGAAATTAAACTATTTTACAGTTTAAGTTGTTGATAAATCAAACTGAAATACCATATTAACTACTAGTTATACTATTAATTACTAATATACACCACATTTGTAATTACATGTAACTAATTACTAATTGCAATAATTTACTAATGTATTAAACTCTGACAATTACCAAATAATAATAGAAACAATTATTTAAACTTTCTAAGATAAGTACAACATCCTAAGAAAATTAATATTTAGGCTATAAACTTCTTCAGCTGAGAGTATTGTATTTTTAGCACATGAAATTTCTGTATAATATCTGATAAGAAACAGTCTATCTGGACCATGTGTAGTTGTGTATTGCATCATTGTACTGATATAGTAATATAGTCTTGTTGATAACTCATTTTTGACATAAACAGGAAATTTTGTGGAAGTTTGACAAACAGTTGATGTAAAGATAAGCTTTATTTATCATTAAATTTTTGTCTAGCTATATATACTAAAGAAAATTGTTCTTACAGGTTTATTTGTCAGATTAAATGTGTGTGTGTCAACTTTATAGGTTTGGTCAGCTTGTTAGGTGTTTTCAGTATTAGCCTCGATTTTGATAGCATCAAAAAAGTGTACTTTTTGTATATGCTATGTCTATTAGAAACAACTTGAGGTCTGGAATAATATCTGGTAAAAATTATCGAAGTTAAAGAATTGTAAGATATTTCCTTTATTTTCTGTCTTGCAGATTGCGAACAAATGTTACGTACTGATGGAGCAGAAAGTATTTTAGAAACTTTTAACACATTCTATAGTGTTATTTAGTAAGTACTTGTTTATCTTTAAAGGCACTGAATTAGTCAGGACGTACGATAGGGGTTTGGGCTCTTTAATTTGAATTTATTTTCAAGAAACAGTGCACATACATGAGAAAGTTAAATAAATTAAACAAATGACAATGTTTTTTTGAAGCTCTAGACTTAACATATCTTAGTAAATTAAGCTTAAATCATGTGAATAAGCATCTAATCTTACAATGGAAGAGTGGAAAATAAGGCCAAGTTTAGACAATGCTTCATAAAACAAAGAATACTTTCACAATTTTTAAGCCACACTTTTTGTTTGTAGGAAAGTTACTGACAATTAATTATTTAAATATACTCCATCTGCCACAACTCCCTTACATGCCTTTCTTGTTTTTAAGTCTTGATGACATAATTGGTAATAATTCCATTAAATAAACTTGTATATTTTTTGTTTTGTTTGTCAGTTTTTATTGTTCTTAAGATAATTTTTATGGTTTAATGTATGTTAAAGCCAGTAAGACCATCAAGAAAGCATGAAATTTTGACAAATAGTTAATTAAAAGATAAGCTTTATTTAATATTACTTAATATACTGTTTAGAAAAAACAGTGTTAATTTTTAAAAAGAAGAATAGGCTTACTAGAGTAATAGTAAAAAGAAATTCTAAGAAGTTTTTGTGTATAATTTCATGTGATTATCTGATTTGTGTAGCTATACGTACTAAAGAAAGTGAAAAATGTTTCAAGTCTATTACTCTTTCTTTATGACAGTCATTTTAATAAATTAGAACCAGAGGTTAGACAAGAATCATTGGAGATGATTATGACAGGTATGTATAGTTCCTAACAGATATTTTTTGTCATTTTATTACTCTGTTTCTTAGTTCATAATGCTAAGTGTTATAAACTTTATTTCTTTATAGCTAGTTCACATGAGTAAACTGTTTTCACTCTTTCTTTATACAGGGTTTGCTAAAAGTCAATAAAGAATATGTAATATACAGTATTTTCTGTTTCAGCTCTACATAAATAAGTCAGTCACTAAGAGACAGTCACTCTAGACTATTTGTAGTTGTGTATTGTATCTTCTTACTGACATATTTATAATATATTCTTGTTGATCACTCAGTTTTGACATAAACAGTTTATATAATTTTGATGGGTAAATTTTAATTTGGGCTGTAAACTTCTTCAGCTGAGAGTATAATTGTATTTCTAGCACAATATATACTAGTAATTTTTAATCATAAGATATTTATGGCACAACCCAATAGCCACTGCACATGATTATATATATATATTGTTACGTCTCCGTTTGTTAATTAACTTTCCGTAACTTCGTTCTGACGAAACTTTAGCGACACAAGTCCTTACTTAATAAAACTGGTTTATTCTTTCTGAATATAACTTCACGATACACTTGATTTCAACATTCGCGTTAAAACAAATGCTATAACGATGAACGTGCTCAACTTCAATAATACTCGCTGACTGCAGATCAATTACTCACTGTCTACACACACATTATTCCGTCATGTTGTCAACCTCTTGTATATATACCAGACTACCCTATATCTAGTAATCTCCCGACTATTCCCGAAGGTTCGAGAGGTGGCGTGACACTAGTCACGTCACCTCGCTGACGCAACAATATATATATATCAGGTGTTAAACATTACAGTATATGACCTCTAGTTATTGGTACACAAATCATCACACAGATAGAGAAAATGATTCCAAAACTTTCACAACTCATCTGAATTATCAAATAAAAATATGTTTGTTTTATATCTTTTTCTGCATTCTACAATTTGAGAACCATTTTCTTAGAGTACCCAGGCAGACACAAACCAAAATTATAAGAAAATACAAATTACTACACATTAAATATATTTCTTGACAGATCAATATACCAAAAATTATCATAATGATTATGTTTGAATGTTATGCACGATGGTCGTTATAGGTGGTTTTGTCATGAGAGCTAAATATTTTGTCGATGAAGAGCTGATACATATGATTCACCACTTGTCTACTATGTTACCAGTTGATTGTACACATACATTTTTTAAACTCGCACTAATTGTTTTAGTATCTATATTTTCCTTTACTTAATTCTCCTATTGCCATTTTTAGTAAATTTATTTTTATGTGGTACCGTTGTTAGAATTGTGATCATGTTTATTGTATAAATAATTCAAAATAAAAACAGTTTAAAATACATGTTTCCTTGGGTCTGCTGTGGCCCCGTGGTTAGTGTGTCCGGCTGAATCAGAGAATGTTGGATTTGAGACACAATGTTGTTGAACACTCTCTGCTCTTTCAGCTTTAGTGATTACTAATTCTGTTATTCAGCTTAAATTGCTGATTGTCTGCATTTCCTCTACTCTGACCTGGCCATTTATCCCATGTGCAAATAAGTACTGTTCAGATAAAAATTCCAATTTTATGGCTTCTTTAGTCATATTAGTTAAGCATTTCACACATGTAAAGCTACCTTTTTGACAACAAACGTTTTTACACTTTCACCTGCCAGCTGTGAAGTAGTCTATGCCTGTGACTACTGGTGTACATGATTTATAAGTGAGTATGTCATATATGGTTGTTGTCAGTGCAGATATTCGCAAGTGTAGGAACTTACTTTGTAATTAGTGATTGTTAGAATGTGTCTGAATATTTTGGGTGTATGCCTAGGACTACTGATGTATATGATTTATAAGTGAGTATGTCATATATGGTTGTTGTCAGTGCAGATATTCGCAAGTGTTGGAACTTACTTTGTAATTAGTGATTGTTAGAATGTGTATGCCTAGGACTACTGATGTATATGATTTATAAGCGAATGAATCATGTATGACTATTGTTGGTATAGAAACTTGCCTGGAATTAATTCTATGGCTGGAAATTACATGACGAGTAAATGGTAAAACACCATGATATTTCTAGAAATTGTCAGTGTTTTCCTCAAAGATGTTGGTGCTTGTGTGTGTTGTTGATGTTTGACAATCTCTTCATGTACTACATCAATGTACCTTTTGTAGAGTTCTACTTCTATATATGTTTAAATATGAAGATACTCCAAATGTGTGGTGTTTTGACGCTTGATATTCTATCACTGTTTAATATTCTAAATAGATTGAAATTAACTATATGATTAATATTTCAATTTTTGAAGAAAGCCTTCAAAAATAATAAATTTTACGTTCTTTGTGCCTCAAAAGATAGGACTCATAACATCAAGAGACTAGTGATTTTCAGTCTAATTTGTTTAACTTTTTCTTTATTCTTTGAGATAATTGTTTTGTATAATTCTGTCACGTTTTTTAAACGTGGATCATATGTGAAAACGAATCATTTTTTTCATATGGTATAAAAATATTGAAACCTGTGTATTTGCAAGGATTAACTACAATTCTAAGATCTTGTATATTACAAAAATAACAAATGAAAATACAATACATCAGTGAGATTAGAAAAAAAGATTACCTGATGCGACTAATTATTTTTTGATTTAGTCATTAAAAAATAAAAGTGAAATATAGTTTCCTGTAACAAAAAATGCTTATCGTCATTTTTTCTCTAGCTTCTATTAAACTGTGTGGACAACAGTCAATGATTTTAGAAGATATTGAACAGTTGGACTATGAGACTCGAACAAAACAACTAAACTTGCTGAAAATGACCTGTTACCTTTTGTGTCAATTTATTGAAACATTTGAAACAGAAAGTTTGAAACCAACTACACAAACAGTAGTGACAGGAAAGGTAAAATAATTTCTATGTATTATTTCTTTTAGTATGGTTTTAGTTAGTTTTCTTATTTTTTCTTTCTCTATCTCTTTCTACTCTTAAAAGGGAACTCTGGGGTGGACACAACATAAACAAAATTGCAAATGAATGGCTAAAACATCAATACAGGACATCAAGAAATCCACCCAATAAAATATTAATATTATCCATTATATCAAGGTGGATACTGGAGGCTACCATTTTTCCTTCATGCTGTTGAAGTAGTTTGAGTTAATAAAAAAGGAAAAAAGAGTCATACCAGGAAGTGTTAAGTTTCTAGCTATTTAGCACAGTTGTTACATCACTTGCAAGAGGTCTTGGATTCAAATATGAGGTGATGTTTGGTTTGGTTTGTTTGAAATTTTGTACAAAGCTAAACAAGGGCTACCTGAGCTAGCTGTTCCTAATTTAGCAGTGATAGATTAGAGGGAAGGCAAGTAGTCAACACAACCCACCACCAACTCTTGGGCTACTGTTTTACTAATGAATAGTGGGATTGACTGTCACATTATAATTCCCCCATGGCTGAAAAGACAAGCAGATTCAGTGTGATGGAAATTTGAACCCGCTACCTGCAGATTGGAGTCGAGCATTCTAATCACCGGGCTATGCCGGGCCAAGAGGTGAGGAAATGGAAATATTACACTGTGATGAACAAGTGTACAGAAAGATGGGTGCAAGTGATCAGTTTAACGGGACACACCTCTGTGCTGATACAATTTTAAACAGGTTCTGTGCAGAAATTGTCCATGATTCTGCAGAGCATATTTTATGTTTAATATTTGTAGAAATAATGAGTTATTATTAAAATGTAAATCAAGTAGACATATCTATATCAAACACCTTTTGAGTAAAATACTGTTACGTATCTGCTTGTTTGATAATTTCTGGTAAAAATTCTTTCCGAGAAACTTCAGTGATTAAAACTAGTTTATTCTTTCTCGATACAAACTTTGTAATACCCTTACCAACTTTTATACCCAACGTTTTAATCCCCAGTATTTCCCCCCTTTTCCTATGGTGCCTACTGTTCGCTTGACTCAATTATCTATCTTTTCAATCTATCTGCATATCTCTGCAATCTATCTGTCTATGCAATCACACTGGTTTTTCTCACCA